AATCATGCCATGATCCCCCCCCCCCCCCCCCCCCCCCCCCCCCCCCCCCCCCAGCATTTCTCTGCTAAAAGTGATCCTAGCGGCAGGCCCGCCAATGGATCCTTCTTTTTTTTTTTTTTCCTATAGAAGTAGCAGATGGCCTCCACTCATCTCTGTCCTAAGAGGATCGAAGTGACGTCACCTATGGAAATTTTAAAGTACTGTAGTTTGGCGCCATTCAGTATGTATGTGTGTGTATATCTATATATAGATAGATACACACACGTATATAATTTCTTTAATTTTATATTCATTAAAGTGTCATAAGTGACAGATAAACATATGACCATTTCCAGGTGTACTAGGTGAGCCCGCATGGATTTACACTCATCACAAAAGATGGACTTTCTATTAATAGGTCTCGCTGTGCTTTTTTGGTTGGACCCACTGTTTAACTTGTCACCAACTTGACCATTCACACGTACCAGAATGCGATTCTTTACAATGCAATACACAGCCACTCAAAAAAACAGTATCAAGGAAAGGGTTAATGGCTCCAAGCAGTCAACTTTTTTTTTTTTTTTTTAACCATTCTAAACCTTAAAATTACGCCACACTCACATGTACCGTATATTTGCCAAAGGACCAGCACCAGGTACATCCAGCGTTTACGGTTAAGACGGCTGCTGCTGCTGCCCCAAGACCAAAGGCTGGCTGCAGGGATGGGATGAGATTTATCGGCTGGGGGAACAGCGCCTCAACTAGTTTTGTTTGTGATTTGTACATCTTTAGGAAGCTGGTGTTCACCATTTTGCAAGCTGGCTTTATACCCTGCCAAATATTTTATTTTTGCACTTTTAAATGTGGCAAACGGTTTGGTAATCTCAATTCACATTTTTGGCAGCGTGGTCCATGTATACATTTTCAAGTATATCAGCATGTATTTTTTTTTAAATTGAAACTATTTTCAGGTACAACCTTTGTGTGCCTGTGCTTTGTGTATTTAGCTGCAATATTTTAACTAGGTGGAGAAGATTTGTTATTGCAAAGAGTACATTCCAATAGAAAGGTCAGTACAGACTAGCCTTTATATTCAGGTGTGGTTTTGTTTTTTTGTTTCGGTTAAGATATATACACTATATTGCCAAAAGTATTGGGACACCCCTCCAAATCAAGGGACACAGCATGCTGTAGTGCACAGTGTGCAAAAGTTGCCAACTGCAGAGTCATTAGCTAAAGACCTCTAAACTTCGTGTGGCCTTCAGATTAGCACAATAGCCATGTATAGAGAACTTCATGGAATGGCTTTCCATGGCCGAGCAGCTGCATCCATGCCTTACAACGTCAAGTTCAGTGCAAAGCTCAGGATGTAGTGGTGTAAAGCACGTCGCCACTGGACTCTAGAGCAGTGGAGATGTGTTCACTGGATTGATGAATCACGCTTCTCTCCCTGGCAATCCGATGGATGTGTCTGGGTTTGACAGTTGCCAGGAGAACAGTACTTGCCTGACTGCAAGTGTAAAGTTTGGTGGAGGGGGGATTATGGTGTGGGGTTGTTTTTCAGGAGTTGGGCTAGTCCCCTTAGTTCCAGTGAAAGGAACTCTTAAGGCATCTGCATACCCAAGACATTTTGGACAATTTTTTTGCTCCCAACTTTGTGGGAACAGTTTGGGGATGACACAAAGCAAGGTCCACAAAGACATGGATGAGCAAGTTTGGAGTGGAGGAATTTGACTGGCCAGCACAGAGTCCTGACCTCAACCTGATAGAACACCTTTGGGATGAATTAGAGCAGAGACTTTGAGTCAAGGCTTCTCGCCCGACATCCGTGCCTGACCTCACAAATGCGCTTCTGGAAGAATGGTCAAACATTTTCATAGGCACCCTCCTAAACCTTGTGGACAGCCTTCCCAGAATAGTTGAATTTGTTATAGCTGCAAAGGGTGGGCCAACTCAATATTGAACCCTACAGACTAAAACTGAGATGCCATTAAAGCTCATGTGCGTGTAAAGGCATACTTTTGGCAATCTAGTGTATATGATTCGGATAGCCATGTTAAATAATTCTAGGTTATGTGTTTTGGAACAAATATGTAAAATCAATGATTCTCTATTTGAAAACCATGAAAGTTGAATGGGACCAGCAAAAAATAACACATTTTATAAATGTCGCAAATTAGACCTGGATTTTCCATTGAGGTAGTAATGGGAGTACGGGTGAAAGTACTTTACTACTTTCTACAATGAAAGACCCAAAGAGTGTCCTACAGCAAATGGTTATCAAGCCAGTCATTCACCTCCTTATAAATATGAATTATATATTTTTATGTGATCGTGTTTTCTCTGCACCCGCAAGACACAGTGCAATTTAAAACCTTTATGCCTGTTGTAAATTTCCAAAATGTGCTGCGCTCCACTTGTTAACGATGTTGTCAAATCATATATGTTAAAAAAGATAAGACGAGCGCTAGGTAAAACAAGCCGCCAGCATTAAGGTGAAACCTCAGACCCTTTTAAATAAATATGTAATACAGAAATTCAGCACTGAGTAGATATTATATGGATATAAATATAAATAAAATATATATAATACACACACACACACACCCCCCACCCACACACCCCGTTATTGCGCTATAAAGTGGTATGATGTGGTACCGTCTAATTAAGACGTATAAAAAAAACAAGAAGTGAAATAATACAAGTGACATTCAGTGATGAATGTAGAACATAATAAAGTCCAAATGTTAAAGATGATCAAATCAATAAATAAATAGAAGTGCAATAATAAATATAAGCGAGTGCTTCATGTAATTAAAGCAGCTAGTATAAGGATAAACCCGGCAGGCTCCTCGCTGACGTGTTTCATGCGAAAGCACATTGTCAAAGGGATGCGTTCTCTGGATACCTGATTACCACCAGTGCCTTTCCGGATATTATAACACATGCGCATTAATATTGTGTGTGTCGGTGAGTGCAATCATACCTCATTTTCCTTACCACGGAAGTTATGAGCACCTTATTTCCGCGCATCGATTGTGAGGACGACCCATATCCCAAGTCACCGGATTATTATTGCATTACTTGCTATTTGTTTTATTATTATAGTCTATTGGAGTTTTTATCACATTTATGTCCTACGTTTATATGTCACTTTATTCGTCATAACTTTGACAACACATTATTGTCACTTTTTAGTGTTCCATTTGGCGCTTGATCATATCACCAGTCACTTTGATCTATACGATTATTTATCATTATTTTAGCGCTGCATTTTACATTATTGAATAAATATAAGTGAAATCCGTGACTCGGTGACTGGAAGCCTTTGTATGATATTGCACTAACCAGAAGCGCAATAAAATCGCGCATTTGTGTATATCAGTCCACTCATTGTGATCTGGATCCGAATGGGTATATTGAGGATCATCTGGCACACGTCAGCATGTCGGGTGATCAGCAGACCTCACTCTCAGGTTCCAGGGGCATCACATATAATCATAAATCCCCAGTGCCAAAAAAATGTGTACAAAAATAAAATTATTAAAATTAAATGTCGCTGTACATAAGTGCAATATATACCAAAAAATATGAAAACATTACAAACAGCACAAATAATTGAAAAATATTAAATCATGTAAAAATATAAAAATATGACATAAAAATTATATATATATATATATATATATATATATATATATATATATATATATATATATATATATATATATATATAAATAGTCCTACTCCAAAATTCATGAAGAATTGTGAAAATACATTTTTGTATATAAACACAAATGCCAAAATAAAAAGCAAAAAAAAAAAAAAAAAAATCCTTGTTCCAAAGAAGTGTGCTTCCACCAAAGACCAGTACTTTAAACCAACATAAACCGCACTCGCCAGATTCTGGTGAAATAAACGCCTTTTTAGGTATTTGGGATCCTAGACCCTTATAAGCCTCTAGACCTCCACTCCACCACGTGTGTGTGGAGTGGAGGTCTGGAGGCTTATCATAAGGGTCTAGGATCCCAAATATCTAACTAAAAGGCGTTTATTTCACCAGAATCTGGTGAGTGCGGTTTATGTTGGTTTAAAGCACACTTCTTTGGAGCAAGGACTTTTTTTTTTTTGCTTTGATTTTTATTTTGGCACTTGTGTTTTTATATACCAAAAAAAAAATTTCACAATTCTTCACGAATTGGAGTGGGGGGATATATATATATATATATATATATATATATATATATATATATATATATATATATATATATATATATATATGTCATATTTTATAATTTTTATGATTTAATATTTTTCAATTATTTGCGCTGTTTGAAATGTTTTCCAGGGGCATCACATCCAATATTATAGACCAGTCATGGGCATGCGGAAGGTGTAATAGCAGGACTCCACCTTAGGGGGCTCGTTAAATAACGAGCCAGAAAGAAATCCCTCTGTATGATGCCGGTTGGATCCATCCTTCTCTCTCGTCTCTCACTAACAGAAGAGGTGAATTAAGAAGCACTGAATTCATTTAATTCAAGTGAACACGTGTTTCTGAAGGAGTATATATGGACATTTTTTTGATATGTATATGGACTTTTTTTTTTTTTTTTTTTTTTTTTTTTTTTACAGTGGATGTTTATAGCGAATATTTTATTCTTTATTGCACTAATTGTCAATAGGAGCACGTGTGAATATATGATTTGATAATATCGTTAAGTGGAGAGCAGCACATTTTTGGAAATTTATTACTGATTAGTTGCACTGGTATGAGTATGTGTTAGGTACAGGCAATCCACTAATTAGCATATTGTATTTCTAAAATTTATTTAGCAGTTCACAAGTTCTGATTATATATTTTTGTTTTGCTTTATGCCTGTTGTAATGTGACTTCTGCTAAATTTAAGCTTTGCAGTTGGAGGTTATTCTTCACAATTTGCAAACTTTTGCAAGTTTAAATGTTATATGTAGCAAAATCTACTGTGAAAACACTTTTACAATTGTGTGCTTTCTCTTAGACAAGAGAGGAAAGGAAAATGGAAGCGATTCTTCAAGCTTTTGCACGACTAGAAAAGCGGGAAAAAAGGAGAGAACAAGCCTTAGAGAGAATTAGTACAGCTAAAACTGACATCAAACCTGACGCAAAGGACCTCCAGATCGTCAGTGAATGTGAGCTCCCTCAGGTAATTTTGAGATTATAGTTTTTATATGAGATCTTATCTACTATAGTTTAAGAAAATCCTACTTTGTAGATTCTTTGTAACAATTTGTTGGATAAACATCTCAGTTTCAAGGTGCAGAATAAATTAGCCAGAAATGCTAGCGGATATCATTTCGAAATTGGTAACCAGCAATTTTAGTATTCATATCACAGGCAGTTGTTGCAGCAGCACAGTCTGTAATTCCTTGTAATATTTGTAACTTTTCAAGCGTGTTGGCTCAGGATGTAAGAAGATTGTGCCCTTTTATAAGTAGTCTTTATTTATTTATTTTTTTCCAGCTACGTGCCGTTTATGAAATGTAACAGGTTACGAAGTGATTAAACACAATTGCTTAAAATAGCTTTTACATGGTTACCCTAGCTTCACACAATAGCAGCTCTTAAATCCACATTTTGCACGGACACAGCAGCCCTTTCATTTGGATGGGCTGCCATGCTCCTAAAAATGCACATTAAAAAAAACACATGAAAGCCCACTTGGAGTTTGCATAAAAGCGTTTGTAAACTCCAAGCAGGCTTTCATGTGTTCTGACCTGATGAAAGGCTTCCGTCTAGCCACTTTGCCATAAAACCCAGTTCAGTGGAGGGCTGCAGTGATGGTTGTCCTTCTGGAACTTTGACTAAGCTCCATAGATCCTGTGTGGAGATGGGACAGAGTGACAATCCGGTTGTTGGTCACCTCTCTTACTAAGGCCCTTCTCCCCTGGTTGCTCAGTTTGGCCAGGTGACCAGCGCTTGTAAGAGTCCAGGTTGTGCCAGACTACATCTATCTGACAATTCTGGAGGCCACTGTGCTCTTGGGAACCTAGCGTGCAGCAGAAAGTTTTTGTAGCCTTCCCCAGGTCTGTGCCTTGCAATAATCCTGTCTCTGAACTGTGCAGGCTGTTTCGTTTGACTTCATGGCTTTTGCTCCGATACAGTATGCATTGTTAACTGTGAGGCCTTTTATAGAGAGCTGTGTGTCTTTCCAAATCATGTCCAATCAATTTGATTTACCACAAGTGGATTCCAGTCAAGGTGTAGAAACATCTCACCAACGATCAAGAGAAATGGGGGGAGGCACCTGAGCTAAATTTCAAGTGTTACTGCAAAGGGTCTGAATATTTATGCCCAGGTGATATCAGTTTTTTATTTTTAATGAACATTTTTTTTTAATTGTTTTTCTTTTTGTCATAAGGTACTGAGTGTAGATTAACTGGTTGGCGACCAGCCACAGTACTTTTTTTTTTTTTTTTTTTTTTTTTTTTTTTTTTTTTTTTTTTTTTACTGTGGCAAGGTGGCACCACTGCGCAAAATCGTGTGTATATATACGTGATTTTGCATTTCCGGGTAGGGGGCACGTGCGACACCCCCCCACCTGTGCTGCCAATCGCTGCTGCAGGTGTCTATCGCTGGGTCCCGGCCCATGATTACACACCGAAGCCTGGTGATTACCGGCAAACACCAACAGTGAGGAGGGCTGCATTGTTTACAATGCAGCCCTCCTCCCTGTAAGTTTAGGCACACTGATAGGGATGGCTGAGCACAGCCATTCCGATCAGTGTGCTTACAGTAAAGCAAACACCCCCCGCCCCCTAGTAAAACACTCCCATCACACAGTTAACCCTTTGATTGCCTCCAAATGTTAATCCCTTCCTCCCTAATGCCATTAGTACAGTGCCAGTGCTTTTTTTTTTTTTTTTTTTTTTTTCTCTCTTCTTGCACTGTATTGGTGTCACTGGGTATGTCAGTGATCCCAAGTCACCCCCCCCCCCCCCCCCAGTGTCAGAATGTCCGCCGCAGTCCCGCTATAAGTCACTGATCACCGCCATTATTAGTATTAAAAAAAAAAAAAAATTCCAGTATCTACACCGCCATTTGTAGACACTATAACTTTCACTTAAACCAATTTACAAATTGGGATTTTTTTTTTTTTAATCAAAGTCGTGTTGCAGAATACATTTTGGCCTGAATATGACTAAATTTGATTTTTACATTTTTTTACTGGACATGTTTTATAGCAAAAAGTCCAAAATATTGTTGTTTTTCTCAAAATTGTTGGTCCTTTTTTTCTATAGCACAAAAAATTAAAGCACAGGCGATCAAATACCACCGAAGGAAAGCTCAATTTGTGGGGGGGGGGAAAGGACGCAAATTTCATTTGGGTGCAGCGTTGCATGACTGTGCAATTGTTAAAGTAACGCAGTGTCATAACACAAACCGCTTCTTGACCGCACTATAGCAGAAATACTGCTACAGGGCAGCGAGGGTGCGCAAAATCACATGTGTATATATACGTGATTTGCGCTCCCATGGTTTTCACGCCCCTCCCAGATAGCGTCAGATTGCCTGTCGGTACACTAGTAATCACATTTAACTCCTTGATTGCCAGGAACATGGTTATACACCATAAACCTCCATTGTTAGTATAGTGGCTGAACGGTTCAATATCTTTGATCAGATCAGCACTATACCACCGTTCACATTTAGTATAGTGTCCCCAGAACACAGCGTTAGCGAGATCAGCCCCGTGACCTTACCAGCACCTGCGTTTAGCCCCTATGCCTACCCCCTCCTTCTCCCCCAGCAAGTGCAGTGTCAGTAGGTCACTGTCACGTGATACATTGCACACCAAACCACAGTGTTCACAGAATCAGCACACGTACTTCCCCCATTCATTTCCCAACCCGGAATTCAGGTGGAAACAGCAAATTTAACTACTCCCCTTGATATTTTTTGAGCTGTTTTTCACGCAAGATCTGTATGCATTGATTGTGGATTAAAGCAATTTATATGCACAATAATTTATTGCTGTCAACCCAAATTCAAACCTTGCCAGACCATTCGCATTGGAAACCCATTACGGTTTCCGAATTTAAATTTGTTTTGGGCCTAACCCTCAACATTAGCAATACTAACAAAAATGAATTGCGGTTGTATTGGTCCACAGACCCGATTCATCATATGCCCGTCTTCTCTGCTACCATGGCCAGGCATATAGATATGAGAGTATAATGTGTTTTATGCATTTCAACAACAACACACTCTTTCGTCCTCGGGGACAGCTCCACAAAATTTGTCCCCTAGTAAATCACCTTAACTAAAAAATTTGCAGATGTCTATACTGGGAATTTGTGTCATCCTTTTTCCATATGGGGTACCACTTATACCTGGACAATTTCTATTCAAGCATTCCACTATTTAGACATTTGTACAATCTTGGAATTGGCGTAGGTGGCACCGTGTGACCTAATGTGTACCCACCATTAGAAGTGGGTGGATGCAGGACAGTATATTCTAAATGGAGGGCATACCACACACTTTTTCTTGCAGAGATTTTGTCTTTTTTTTTTTTTTTTTTTTTTTTTTTTCATTCAGCCCACAAGCTGCATACAAAAAAAAGAACATAGGATATATACCCAACAAGGACAATTGACGTACTGGTCTGGGGTCATCAGTGGTGTACCCCAAGGTTCAGTGTTGGGACCCTTGCTTTTTAATATATTTATAAACGATATAGGGTCTGATATTACAAAATCCCATTTCAGTCTTTGCAGATGACACCAAGCTCTGCAGTGGAATAACGTCCTTACAGGATGTCTCCAACTTACAAGCTGACCTCAATGCACTGTTTAATTGGGCAACTATGTGGCATATGAGGTTTAATGTTGATGTTCTGTCTCTCCAATCTAAGCATTGATAGATCTCTGTAACTTTACAGTTGTGATGAGATAGCGATAACTTCAACCTCAGTTGGATACCACAGTTAGTGACTCAATGAGAATGACATCTTGTGAGGTTTATTCCATAAACTGAGAGAATCTTACAACAATGAACATTCTATAGGTCAAAAGAACATACTGTTTCTTGCTCCATGCCATGAGGCTAGCTGCAATGCATTTCTGGGAAAGGGCTATCTATGCAACATTAACTAAACCAAGGAAAGGGAGTAGAGACAAAATCTAGAAAACATTTAAAGGCATATGACAGTCATGTGAAACATGACAGTTGATACATGTAAGGTTATGCACTTGGGGGCTAAGCATATGCATGCATCATACATACAAAGGGGGGGTACAACTGGGGGAATCAATGGTGGAGAAGGATCTGGGAGCTCTGGTAGATCACAAGCTTAATAATGGCATGCAATGCCAATCTGCGGTTTCTAAAGCGAGCAAAATCCTCTCTTGTATTAAGAGGTAAAGACTCCAGAGAGAGAGAGAGAGATCCTATTACCCCTGTACAAATCATTAGTAAGACCTCATCTGGAATATGCAGTTCAGTTTTGGGCACCGATTCACAAAAAGAACATTGGGGAACTGGAGAAAGTACAGAGAAGGGCAACTAAACTGATAAGAGGCATGGAGGAGATCAGCTATGAGGAAAGATTAGAGGAACTGAATTTATTCTCCTGAGAAGAGGAGCTTAAGGGGGGATATGATCAACATGTATAAATACATCAGTGGTTCATACAGTGAACTCGGTGTAGAGCTATTCACCCTGAGGTCATCACAAAGGACAAGGGGGCACTCTTTACGTCTGGAGGAAAAGAAATTTGAAGTCCAAACACGGAAAGGTTTCTTCACAGTGAGAGCTGTGAAAATGTGGAATAGACTCCCTCAAGAGTTGGTTCTGGCAAGCTCAATGGATTGCTTCAAAGAAGGCCTGGATTGTTTCTTAGATATACAGAATATAACTGGATACTAACATTTATAGGTAAAGTTGATCCAGGGAATATCTGATTGCCTCTCGGGGGATCAGGAAGGAATTTTTTTTCCCAGCAGGAGCAAGTTGGATCATGCTTTGCTGGGTTTTTTTTTTTGCCTTCCTCTGGATCAACTGTGGGTATAGGATTATAACTTTTTTATTTTTTTTCTCCATGGTTGAACTGGATGGACTTTTGTCATTTTTCAGCCAGGCTAACTATGTAAACAAGAGGACACAGCCTCAGTAGGGTAGCACATATTCCATCGGTCAGTAAAC